AATAGGCATCCATACACTCAAACGGTAATATGTGTATCATTTGAGTGAAGTATTGTGCCGCCCTGTCTCGAACAGATGCGGACGCATGCCATGCAATCAGTGCCTTCATGACATCATTTGTGACGCTATGAAATGTCTTGACAATCACCACATCGACACCTTCACCGCTACTGCCACCGCCTTGATGAGTCATCGTGTCATTGGGACCAGCAACACCGCCCCCGCCACCACCTCGAAGACCTTTGGCCAATGCCGTTAAAAAGGAAATTTGATCGGCCACCGCCTCCGAGCATGCGGAAGAGTCCCCGGTCATAACCTGATGAGAAGAAACCAAAGAAGACGCATCACGAAGTCCTTGCAACATGATTTCTATGAAACACACAACCATCCCCCCCTCATCCACCTCACTCGTAGATGTACGCGACATTGAACTCAAGACGTTTCCAGTAGCCTCATACAATTCACAACAATCGCTTGGTTGCAACACCCCAGAGGAAAATATATCCTGCAAGGCATTTACAATACTCTTCTTGTGTGGTGACAGGTGTGTTTTCAGTAACTGTACAAGATGCCCAAACAGATAGCACACACGCGCGCGGACACGGGGATGTCGATTGGTGACACCATAAGGCAGTAGTAGAAGACGCTGCAACAGAAGCGGGATCCACTCACTGTGGTAAATAAAGAAGGCATAGTAACGATCCAGAACCTCAAAGTAACTGAGATGGACAACGGCACATGGGCATTGGGCGATGCATTCAGAAGACACAACGGTACACACAAGTTGAGAAAACTCATCTTCCGCATCTCGCAGTCTTTCCATTCGAATCGACTCACCAACTTCATACAAGTATCGCAATGTCGCCTCAATCTCTTCCGCATGTCGATTCTTCGCCCCACCTCCACCCATGACGGAGGCATTCCCGACATGCAGTTGGTACTCCTGGTGGTCGCCACGGTTCTGATCGTCCATTTTATTCCTGAAACACTCTTCGGCACTCACGGGTGTGCTTGCCTGTGCAACACATAGCCGTAGATGCTGCAACACAATAGTTGGATAGCGCCGAAATAAAAGACGGATAAGGTTGTGAATCTGTTTTCGTTGATCAATGATATCGTCCAGCCACATTTGATCCTCCTCCTCCGCAAGGTCTTGTATCAGGCTGTGGTCGTATAGTCGGAGCAGTAACTCCGCCGCCTGCTCTTCATGTAGCGCCGCGGACTTTAGGTACACCTGTACAAACGGCAGAAGCGTATTGCTCACATCACTATGATTAATGCTCAACAAACGCAGCAAATAAATGAGAATCGTATCCAGTGCCGCACGTACATTGTCGATACAATCCCTAGACAACACCCCATCGGATTGTAGCGGTACCTCCCCTTTGCTGTTGCCGCTGTTCTTGGCGGTAGTGTAACATGCACCCATGACGGTGCTGCCATTAAAAATAACTTCACCCCTCTCGGATGCATGGACAGAATGGTGTTTCATCGGAGAGTTGTAAAACCTATTCGGGTTACCACCATCAGCTGTTGCAGCCGATATGTGTTCAAAGAGAAACAAAAACTGCTCTGCAACAGCCCGTGTAAGCCGCGCTACAACCTCGAGGAAGTTCACATCCTCCTCCGTCTTGGGTGGCACTTGCAGCAAACTAACAATACGCGGAAGGGCATCCACAATGTTGAGTGTACGCAGTGACTCCAGCTTTGCAACCGGTAATTGTTTCTTCTCCACAAGACTGAATATGCATTCACATGCCGCACCCCGCACAGCCGGGGCTGTGACGAGAAAGTAAAGCAAATTGATCCACTCGGCGGTTATAAAGAGGGTAAAATCCACCCACTCAATGTACGTCTGCACAACCGTAAGACAAAGTTTGACAATTTCCGGTGCCCGAATACGACAGTCACACAATATGACATACCATGTCGCCACAGCACGTGGCATGACATTTTCACGCATAGCATCCTTCAGCTCCATATCTCGTGCCCGTAATTCCCGACAACGGTTTGTTTGTGCCCGTACCG